TCTTAATTCAAGCCCAACCCAGTAAAGTGATTTAAGTCTAGGGGTAAATGAAGTCCTCTCTTGGGGTCTTGAAACCACAAATCTCCTGAGCGACGTGCCTTGGGTTTATAGGTCGCTAAAGGTTCTGCAAAAATGTCAGTGATTGAAATTCGTTTGTTTACTCTACAAATTATTTTTATTTAAACAAAGACGCGCATTATTTAAAATTTTATATATATTAAATTACTAAACGTTAATATGTTTATATATGAACTAGAACTACGTGGCCATCTGCTTATTACATTTCTCCACTTGGCATTTTTGAAAAGTTGATTTGAACAAAAGTGTGTTCGTGGTTTCACAAGTTTATGCATTTCCATTTTCTTCTACTTTGATCAACCCAATCTACATTCTACCATATACGCACTTCATTCTTTAGTCTCCAAGCCGTTCACTCTGGCCCGGTTCGCATTGGGCTGGCCGATCCTGTCATGGCAATTTTTCATTAGTATCTCCACTGCCACCACCAGCACATACAGTTTCTCGTCGGCGACGTCTAAGCCGCCGCCTTCGTCGTGGACGTCTTCATTTACAAGACGGGCTGCATCACCTACACCAGCAGCGGCAACAGCACAGGTTGCAAAGGATGGAAGTGGACTTGCCGCCCGTGGGCGACGCAAAGAAATCAAAACGACGCTTGGTTGGCCAAAGGGAGCAGCAACGCCGACCACGACTTATTGACGATGTAACGACGGAATCTGGCTGTCTTTTATCTAATTCTGCGACCTTTCCACTATCTGGGGGCCCAGTTAGGGCTGTGACTTTAACTCCCACTCGCTCCTCTGCTGCTACAATAATGACATATAGACGTCGTCCCAGTGTACTGATGAGATGCCGAAGGACACGTGGAGCCACCTTCTGTCGGCACAGAAGTTGCTATCGTCTTTATCTTTTACGAAAAAAGCTTAGTCGAATGACTACTACAAGTACGAAAGCTATTGGGCAATGGAAAAACGGCTTAAAAAGTAGTTACACATATAAATATATGCATCTAAAAGTTTTGCTGTCTATGTATCTGTCGATCTACTTTCATTTTCATTATCCGTATTATTCCATTTGAAGTTCTTTCACATATCCTTGCCCTTTTTCTGTATACAACTATTAGATAAGGTATGCACAGTTTTTTTCCAAATGAAGTTCATATCTTGACTGATACATTCATTTTCTATTTCCGCATGTGCTATTGGCCTCATCTAAAAAATTCTTTATTTGAGGCAAACTCGTATTGCCATTTTTCATTTATAACCAGGTTTTCAGACTGCCAGTAGATCATTTATATATAAAATGTATTTATCCTTTTTTGCTTAAAGTGATAAAGAGATTGGTAGTTGAATTTTATCAAAATGATATGAGTAGACCTTGTGCTTCCATTAAATTTAATATAGCCTTACTTTCCAAAAAGGTATTATTTTCCAGGGTGAACTGTAGTTTCGACCTCGTCTAGGTCTTATCAACCAGGACGGTGCAGCGTATAA